GCAAGACAAGAGAAGTGATGACCGGCGTGGTGCCGGCCGGGTGCACTCCGACGGTCAAGTTAGTACTCGACGATTCAATATCCGATAAGGATTCAATATGAAATTTATGACGTACCTTTTTAGGTTGACTGATCATTTTTTTTATAGAAGCATTAATGGTAGTAGTTTTTCAAGTGAAATTCTCCCTGATCCAAGATGATATCGTTCCCTTCTTACAGGAATGATAACTCTGGTTACATGTGGTATTACGATTCCATGGAGATTTTGGGTAAGATAAATCCCTTAGCCTTATCTTATTTCTCTTTTGACTTTGAGCTGCCTATTATTTTTATCCTTATCAGTTGTCTTTCATTCTCGTGCTTGCTTGTCAAGTATCGAGAATGTCAAAAGTGTTTTTTTGAGTGACGTCTCTTTGGCATAAATCAATCTCTTTTTTAGGTTAACCCTTGTTGGGCAACCTTTTTTGGTTGATCTCTTAAGATTTGTCCGAATTTCATGAGTTGAGGGAGTAGGCTTTCTTTAAGCTGAATGAGCTTACCTTTTAAAAAAAAAGAAGTATATTTACGAGCTTTACTCAACTCGTCCTTTAAAAAGGAAAATATATTTTACGAGTTTCACTCAGCTCGCCCTTTAAAAAGGAAAGTATATTTTACAAGTTGATTTCAACCCCTTTTAATACGGAGGACAACAATTACGAGCTTTATTCAGCTCGGGCCCTTATAGTACGGGGCGCTTTTATATCAATCCCTTATAATATGGGGATGGTAATTACGAGTTTCATTCAACTCGCCCTTTAAAAAGGAAAATATATTTTGCGAGCTTCACTCAGCTCGCCCTTTAAAAAGGAAAGTATATTTTACAAGTTGATTTCGACCCCTTTTAATACGAAGGACAACAATTACGAGCTTTATTCAGCTCGGGCTCTTAGTACGGGGCACTTTTATATCAATCCCTTATAACACGGGGATGGTAATTACGAGTTTCATTCAACTCGCCCTTTAAAAAGGAAAATATATTTTGCGAGCTTCACTCAGCTCGCCCTTTAAAAAGGGAAGTATATTTTACAAGTTGATTTCGACCCCTTTTAATACGGAGGACAACAATTACGAGCTTTATTCAGTTCGAGCCCTTATAGTACGGGGCGCTTTTATATGAATCCCTTATAATACGGGGAATGGCAATTACTAGTTTCATGAATTTATCCTTTTAATATAAGAGGTTCATCCTCGTGATTAACTGATTTTTCAAAATTTCGTGAGCTCGTATCTTTAATAAGAGAGGTTAACTTTCTGCCCCCATTCCCAAGCTTGCCTCTCACGTACACGGAACACTAATGTTCTCTTTCTATTTGCAAAGTTAGCAAAGCAAAAATAAAAGAACAGATGTCCAGTTTGAACGGATAATATATATACATATTTATATATATCAGAATAGGTACAATTAAGACAAAAACTTATCATTGAGCATCATAGGACCAAAATCATCAATGGAGCTAACGATTGTTCTCTAGAATAAGAAACTTTTTTTTTTTTTTTTTTAAAACCCTGTGAACAGTACCCGCAGGTACTATTCATGTGAATGGTACTTACAAAATAATATTTTTTTTCTACACCCTGTGAACAGTACCCGCGGGTACTATTCATGTGAATAGTACTCACAAAATATATTTTTTTTTCTACACCCTGTGAACAGTACCCACAATTTTTTTTTTTTTTTTTTTTTTTTTTTTTTTTTTTTTGTGAACAATACCCTCAAAGCGTAGTATTTTATCGGAGGGTCCCCAGGTGAACTACATCATTATGTAGGTGAACAACTATATTTTGCAAACAATTGGAAACACATAAAAAAATTGTTTCTCTTTAAATCATGTGAGGAAGTGTACACATATATTTTGATATACGCGTAATGCATGAAACTTACCCGGTTAACAGCGATGATGAAACAACTGCTAGCGGTCGGGCGGGACTTTCTAGCAATTTTATCGGATTGAGCAACTGTACCCTTACTTTTGGCCATGCAATCCATGAACTGTTCTCTTTCTTTTAGAGAAAGCCAGATTGTAAAGGGACTGAATTGCTTTTAAGTTTTGTCGTAGATTTCCCTTGTACGAACCATAATTTGTTGGGACTAATATACTTTCCCACAGACGGCGCCAACTGTTGATGTCAAAAATCTACACGCTCCGGAGTCTAGCGCCAACTGTTGATGCCAAAAATCTACACGCTCTGGAGTCTGTGACAATTCCTACAAGACAAGAGAAGTGATGACCGGCGTGGTGCCGGCCGGGTGCACTCCGACGGTCAAGTTAGTACTCGACGATTCAATATCCGATAAGGATTCAATATGAAATTTATGGCGTACCTTTTTAGGTTGACTGATCCTTTCTTTTATAGAAGCATTAATGGTAGTAGTTTTTCAAGCGAGATTCTCCCTGATCCAAGATGATATCGTTCCCTTCTTACAGGAATGGTAACTCTGGTTACATGTGGTATTATGATTCCATGGAGATTTTGGGTAAGATAAATCCCTTAGCCTTATCTTATTTCTCTTTTGACGCCTATTATTTTTATTCTTATCATCAACAAATATTTAAAATATTAAAGATTGGAGATAAGGAAAGAAAATATGAAAGAACAGTTATATTATTTAAAAAGTAATAACTATTTACTTGTAAAGTTAATGTTAGAATTGTCATTTTATTTAAGATTGTAGTGCAAATGTTAAAAAGTAGAGTAAAAATATCATCTCCCTTTCTTGTATTAAAATATGGACAATATTTAGATCATCATTGATGAGAATTTACAACATACTCACCGTTACCAATAATAAATTGATACGTCTTATTTTAATTATCAAATCATAAATAATAATCAAATTATTATTTTATAAATTTTCATTGGCTTCGTCCTATTTTCTTTCTAAAATCGTGATAGGGAGTCTATCAAACAAATTATTTTGACGTGGGTAAAGGTTAATGTGAAGACCACCGTCGTTCTAATCAAATTTTTTTTTTTTTTTGTTGCAACAGTAATAAGAATGCCAGATTATAAATCTAAGTGTATTCAATTCGTATGACGACATGTACTATCACATAGTTGACATCCTTATACTTTACTGGATCACAACTATTGCAAATTTTTTAAAAAAAAATTTTATTTTGGGAAAGAAATTGGTATTTACACTAGAAAATATGGCTCGAGTTTGAAGAATTTTTTTTTATCACGACTCTTTGATGACCATTTTGTGCAAAAGGTCATAATAGATTCTGCGAATTCAGATAGTCCGAAGTTGAAATGGTTGTGGGCGCTACCATCGTTCTATTTCACGTGTGGATCCTTCAGATTCAAAGAGATATAAGATCTATTTAGTTTAATTTTTTTAAATAATTCTCAAGAAATCATAAAACACTTTAAATTTAATTTTTTTTCAAAAATTGTCCACCAAACAAATTTGTGTAGAACGTTTTGATTTTCAGTTCAGAAATCCTAAAAATATCAAAAATGCATTTAAATATTAAATAAAATGTGAGCTGAATATGCATTTACAGTGGCAATGTATTCAAAATGTACTCTTATTATAGTATTTTTCTTTATTTCTGTTAAAAAAAATTTTAAAAAAAATGTATTTTTCTTTATTTTTGTGGAGAGGAAAATAAGATTTAATCTACCTTATATAATAGTTATATTGATACTGATGTTGCCTTATCAAGGGTAAATTAGAGATTCAATCTACTCTTTAAAAGGTAACATTAGTATATTCATTTATTTTTCAAACTTAGAATTCAGATAAATGCATTAGAATTAAAAGGTTTAGAAATTAATAGGATTAAAACTGAATATGAAACGCAATCTAATAAAGAGCTAAATATTAATAACATAGAGGGTTATCAAAAGTTAATATTTGGATCATTAGTAGAAAATTGGAACAAATTGGACAAAACTAATACAAACCACAAGTATTTTATGCAAAAAAAAAAAAAGAAGAAGAAGAAAGAAAGAAAGAATAACAAACAAATCTAAAGAATTTTTTTTTTTTTTTCTTATTTAAAACAGTTACTAGGCCAACTATTTTATATGATGGGGCAGGGTATGGGTTAAAAAAGAAAAAGAAAAGAAACAAATTAATAAAGTCATGCAGCGAAAATGAAGATATTAAAAAGGACAACATAAGATATTCGAAGAGGCAAAGTTCCTAATTAGAAAAAGAAGTAGTTTTTATTGGTAACAAAATAACAGAAATTATCAAAGGGTCTCCAGTCCAGCAGCATGCATATCCATCCTCAAAGATGATGATAAGGGCTTGAGAGCTCGGACATGAGAAATTATTCATTAAAATCGTTGCAACGATGACGTGGTGTAATAGACGACTACAAACACATTTTACCAAAGTAAAGTGGACTTACAATAAAATCAAAAAGCTCATATATGCACTCTGGTTGAGTATTTGTAGTCTTACGTTATACATCATAACAGTGTTTCAACGGTTGCAAAGAATAATTTTTCAAGAAGACGTGGGCAAAAGTGTGTGTTTGTTTTAATATTAAAAAGAAAAAATAGACTTAGGTGGTATGGACATATATATATATATATATATATATATATATATATATATATAAAGAAAGTTGAAAGATAGAGATGTTTATTAAAATTAATAGAAGTTATTTAAAATAATTTTAAATTTTCAAATATTATAAAAGATATGAGATGTATTTAAAAAAAAGTTGAAAAATAAAATTTATGCGGCAAATCTGATTTATATAAATTAAGGAAGAATGAAAATGGTGAGGATGATTGAAAATTCTTCTCCAACCAAATGCTGCAGCTTCATGAGGGCATGTAATACGTCATCCCAAACACTCATACAAAGAACATGAACGTTATTCTAGTTAAAAACAGGGGCAAAATTGTCCACATTCAATTTCAAAGATTTTGACCTGCCGTCCTCGTCGTTGGGTTGGCGGTTTCTTCTCCCATATATATTATAAATTGATTGAAATTAGAGCAGCGTTTTCGTTGTTTCCTTCCACTTTCTCTCTCCTCTGAAATTCTCTTTCTTTAAATTTTTCTCTTTCTCTCTCTACATTTTGAGAAAACGCAGATTCAGATTCAGATTCAGATCTGTTCTCGTCGTCTGTTCTCGTCTCAACACCACACAGAGATTGAGAACTCAATTCGATGGCGGTTGTCTCACCTCTCGCCAAATACAAGCTGGTCTTCTTGGGCGATCAATCCGTAGGCAAAACCAGCATAATCACTCGCTTCATGTACGACAAATTCGATACCACATATCAGGTAATTTCTCGTGTTTTTCTTTTTTTCCTTTTCATTTCTGTCCATTTTGTGAAAATTTTGACGTAATTCTCGTCAGATTTGGTGTCTTGAGGTGTGTGTTCGTTTTTCAATGAGATTTGATCAGATTATTACGTTTATATTCAGGAATTAGGGTTTGAGATAAGAATTTGATAATGTTACGAAGAAATTCACGTGGATCAATACTGTTTTTTTCTTGAATTTGGTTGTGTGTTCGCGAGAACTTGCTTGTCTTGTATTTGAAGATGCTTCTCCTTGAAGAGAGTCAATTTATCTGTTTTTATGTAATTATGTGATTAATTATTAGATTAGTGTGTTTTGGAAAATTTTGGCTGTGTTGCAAATACTAGCTTTTGATGGATCTGAATTTTTAAGCTGTTTTGTGTCATTTTCAAATTTTATTGGCAAAAACTTAAACCTAATTATGTTAAATTATAGTTGAATCTGAGTATACTTCTACCATATTTGGAGTCAGAAACAGAACTTTAAATATTAGAATTACAGTTTTACTTTCTTTCCTTCTTGGCTGGTCATTTGAAGAACTAGAGGAGGTGATGAGGAATATAGTAATTCATAGTGTTATACATATAAATAGGAGAGAAAAAAAGGCAACAATGAAGGTTGTGGGCGATTCTGACGGTAGCCAATGCCGGCAACTGTGGTGGCCTTGGACCTGGTGAATGTTCTTCTTGCTTCTTCCCCTGTTTTCCTCCTTTTCACCTTCAATTTCAAAAAGTAGTCAGGTTTTGGGAGTTGGTGGTAGGTTTTCTGGCTGCTAGGTTTATTGGGAAGTGTGCAAGTTTTAAAAAAGATTTAAGGGACTTTCGTACATAAATCTTGATTCATCACATTGAGACAAGTTTTATACAAAAATAAAATATGATATATCATTTAATTAATAGATTGAATACTTACATCAAAGTTTGAGTAATCCTTATATCTCTCCTTTGAGTAACACACCGGTGCTAGATGTCTTCTCCTTCTCCATCTTCTTGGTAATTGTTGATGATGGATTCTGCGCAACCCGAATTTGATCTGACTTCCTGAACAGAGAGAAGAAAAAGTAATTCTACAAGCACCGGTGTGTTACTGGTGGAGTAGGCTCCGACGAACAAGTCAGTATGCGAAGTAATCTATTAGGAGAAATCAAGAACTTCAGTTAGGGTTTTTTGCGTACCTCAAAACGTTGATTAGCCCACCTTCTTTATAGGGCTTAGGTCAGAATGTCACGTAGAGTTACCTTATCGTAGATTTAATCCTTATCGTAATCTATAGATTCTAACTCAATCTTATGAGATAGTGCATTGATTTAGCAATCTTCCCTTAATCATGGATATTTAAATTATACATCCATCAGTTGCCCCCCGTTTCGGAGGATTGCTTATCAAACCACCAGAACGTTAATTCCAAAATATTACATAATAATATATAGTTAGAATTGTAAAGCCTTGTCCATTAGCCTGACCTATATTGCCACTTCGCGAATACAGTCGGGGGTCGTAGTGCCACATTGGCAGCTCGTATATGTGGCAAGCTCGTATATTGGCAAGCTCGTATATTCGTCGTATATTGGCAAGCTCGTATATTCGTCGTATATTGGCAAGCTCGTATATTTATCGTAGTGCCACATTGGCAGCTCGTATATGTGGCAAGCTGCCATGCTGGCAGCCTACCGTTATCTGGCAAGCTGCCATGCTGGTAGTACCGTTATTTGGCAAGCTGCCATGCTGGCAGCCTACCGTTATATGGCAAGCTGCCATACTGGCAGCCTACCGTTATTTGGCAAGCTGTCATGCTGGCATGCTGGCAGCCTATAGTTATTTGGCAAGCTGTCTTGCTGGCAGCCTACCGTTATGTGGCAAGCTGCCATGCTGGCAGCCTACCGTTATTTGGCAAGCTACCACGCTAGCAGCCTAACAGTTATTTGGCAAGCTGCCACGTTGGCAGCCTACTATTATTTGTTGTTGCAATTAGTTTCCATTTATATTTGTAGGGTTCATGAGTAGGATGGACAGTTATGTTTTGCTATTTCGATTGTCGCATTATGTAATTTAATACTTCATCCTATTAACATCTTTAGTCGGCTCGTCCCTTTAATAAGGAAAGTAGATTAAGACGAGTTTCACACAGCTCGTAATAAGGTAAGTAGATGAATACGAGCTTCACTCAGCTCACCCTTTTACAGGGGAAGTAGATTACTATGAGTTTCACCTAGCTCACCCTTTAACAGGGGAAGTAGATTACTATGAGCTTCACCCAAATCACCCTTTAACAAGGGAAGTAGATTATTATGAGCGTCACCCAATTCACCCTTTAACATGGGAAGTAGATTACTATGAGCTTCACCCAACTCACTCTTTAGAAGGGAAGTAGATTACTATGAGCGTCACCCAGCTGACCCTTTAACATGGGAAGTAGATTATTATGAGCTTCACCCAGCTCACCCTTTAACAAGGGAAGTAGATTACTATGTTGTCACCCAGCTCACCCTTTAATAAGGGAAGTAGATTACTATGAGCTTCACCCAGCTCACCCTTTAACATGAATATTGATAATATTTCTTCAGATGCTCAACATTCCATGGGTGTGGTAGTGGCTTTCCCTCTAAGTCCTCCAACCAGTATGTTCCTGGTTGCTGACATCGCGTAACTTTGTAAGGCCCTTCCCATTTGGGACCCAGTTTCCCTAATGTTGAATCCTTGGTTGCTTGAGTTGCTTTGCGAAGTACTAAATATCCTACTGAGAACCTCCTAGGCTTGACCCAAGCATTGTAATACTTGGAAACCTTCTATTGATAGGCAGTCATCCTAATCTAGGCTTGGTCTCTCATTTCTTCGGTCAGGTCTAAGTTTGCTTCCAACTCCTTTCATTCTGCTTGGGCTCGTAGTACTCCGTCCTAAAGCTTGTTAGGCCAATCTCTACAGGGACTACTGCCTCACTTCCAAACGCTAAAAGAAAAAGGGTTTCCCCTGTGGGAGTCCTTACAGTAGTACGGTAAGCCCATAGTACACTCGGCAGTTGCTCAGAGGCCATAGTCCCTTTGAAGCATCGAGTCGAGTCTTGATTATCTGAAGGATTGTTCTGTTAGTAACTTCGGCCTGTCCATTCGCCTGGGGATGTCCTGGCAATGAGAAATGAATTTGAATCCCGAGCTTGGAACAAAATTTTTTAAAGTGAGAGTTGTCGAACTGTTTTGTATTGTCAGTGACAATCACTCTAGGAATCCCAAATCTGTAAACTATTGACTTCCACATGAAGTTCTTTATATTATTCTCTGTAATCTTGGCCAGAGGCTCAACTTCTACCCATTTAGTGAAGTAATCAATCATAACAATGGCATACTTAATCTGCCCTTGCCCTTGACGAGAGGGCCAATTAAGTCCATTCCCCATTGAGCAAATGGCTATGGTCCTGACATGGGAGTCAACTCCTCTGATGGTTATCTCAGGATGTTGGCAAATCGTTGACACTTGTCGCACTCTTTAATGAAGTCAAGTGCATCTTTCTGCATAGTAGGCCAATAGTATCCTTATCGGATGGCCTTGTTGGCAAGTGACCTACCCCCAGCATGGTTTCCACAATTTCATAGGTAGATCTCCCTCAAAATATAGTCAGCTTCCTCGCTAGAAACGCATCGTAATTACTGCATAGAGAAGTTTCTCTTATAAAGTACCCCTTTGATAAGCGTATACCTAGCCACCAGCATCTTAACCTTTCGAGCTTCTGCTCGATCTGTTGGTAGCACCCCATCCTTGGTATATCTGATGATAGGATCTGCCCATTCCATACTCAATATCACTTGTTGCACTTCAATTTGTCTTTCATGAGATGTAAATGGTTCGTCCAAATATTCCAGTGGTATAGTCTTATTGATCTCAGGTTCCAATGCAGTAGCTAGTCGGGCTAAGGTGTCTGTTTTCCCGTTCTCTTCTCGTAGTATTTGATGAATTGAGAATCTGAAAGTGATTCTTTAATTCCTCCACCTTCTGTAGGCAACTCTTCATCTTCTCGTCCCTTGCCTCATAGTCCGCTCGAACTTGTCCAACGACCAGCTAAGAGTTGGTGTACACCTTTAATTGCTCAACCCCTAGGGCATTTGCCACATTTAATCCTGCTATCAAGGCTTCGTATTCTGCCTCATTATTGGTTGCTTTGAAACCAAACCGAAGTATGTACTATATACTTTCTCCCTCTGGGGAGACAAGAATAAGCCCAGCTCCACTAGCCTGAACATTAGATGACCCATCCACGAATAAGTTCTAGACTACTTCTGGGCCTATCTACTCGCTTGAACCTGGTAGGCTCAGCTAAGAAATCAGCCAACACCTGGGCCTTTACTGCTATTCTTGGCTTGTACTGAATGTCAAACTCTCCTAACTCTACTGACCACTTCATCAGTCGACCAGAGCTCTCTGGCTTGTGTAGGACCCGTCGGAGGGGTTGATCTGTTAGCACCACTATCATATACGCTTGAAAGTATGGTCTAAGTTTCCTGGCGGACACAATTAAAGCAAAAGCTTGCTATTCCATCCTTGGATATCTTTCCTCTACACCCTTTGAATGCTCTGCTCACGAAGTACACTGGCCTTTAGACCCCTTCTTCTTCTCGTATCAGAGCTGAACTGACAGCTGTCGTGGAGACCGCAAGGTATATGTATAGTTCCTCTCCCAGTATGGTTCGAGACAGTAGTGGGGGAGAACTAAGGTATTGCTTTAGTTCTTTGAATGCCAGTTCACACTCTGGGGTCCATTTAAAAGCCTTCCTTAGCACACGAAAGAAAGGTAGGCACCTATACTCACTTTCTTCTCTGGCTCACCATCACCAAGGATGACTTCTTCTAACTCCTCTGTAGGTTCCGCTCTATGAAAGTCTTGCCTATCTCTGCCTTCCAACTCTTCAATCATAAGTGCCTCTTGTGATTTTGTTTTTCTGAGAGAGGCGACATAACATTTTCGAGCCATTGTTTAGTCCCCTTTTAGCT